AAAAGAAACACCAAAGACCAGTACTCTATTCATACATAATAGAAAAAACAGGTAAAAACAATTTATGTAAGTTCTCCTTTAAATTATTTTTAGACAAATTTTATAATGTTTAGTTAAAACTAGATGGAAGTCGATATGAATTGATAAATTTGTTTCTTCACTTTAAGGCTGATTTTCATTGTGCATTGGTAATAGCTCTAATATTTTTAAATATTACATTCCCTGGATTTTGGATAAACATTTTGAGGACACCGAGATATTTTTGAGATATTATTTGTGTACTGGAAATCTAAGTAAAATTTTAAATGTGGAACTCAGTCAAACATTCTCTTTCATAGTTTAATGCAGTCTTGCAAATGAAACTATCATGAATGTCCATTCAGAACAAGAAGTTAAAAGCACCTGAAGCAAAAAAAAACCCAATACCACACATAAACAATATGATTTTATTAAAAGACCACCAACAGGAAACTATGCATTTAATAGCTGAAGATTATTCAGCAGAGAATATAGTAGGAACTAAAATTTAGTCTCTTGTTAGTCTGCTTTTGAAAATCAAACATAAAACAGTGTGTCATTTATATAAACAGACAGTTATTTTTCATAATTCTGGAAGCTAACCAGTTCAAAATCAAGACACTAACATCGAAAGGGTCTTCTTAACTCATCATCTGATAGGAAAAGAATGAAGAGAAAGCAGAAGGACAAGAGGGAGGAAAGAGGCACCAAACCCTTGATTTTAGAAGCACCTATTTTTAACTTGCAACCATTTCTGAAGATAGTATCCCATGACATGAATGGATCCTATTAGGTCCCACCACCAACAGTTCTGCATTAGGGATCAAGTTTTGACATGCTTCATATATCTTATTTTAACATCACCTTACCCAATAAAGAAAAGAAGGCTCGAGATACATAGCTTTAGAAATAGAAACAATACTATATGAGAACATCATAGAACTTGAATTTATAGAATTACACAGCCAGCTTCTCTTCCACAACTGTTTAATGTTCTAATGATAAAGTGTTGCTAATTGCAAATTCTATAATAAAAATAATTTTTAGAGAAGGTGTGCTCTTTCAGCAATTAGAACCTGCTCCCAACATCTCTGATGTAGAATCTCAAACAGATGGAGTTGCAAACCAGCAAGCTGTTGCATATGGTCTGGGTGGATTGATGTGCAGGGAATGTGGTCATATACATATAAATCACACAGCCTGAAATATTAGTGAAAAGAATGTGCCACTGAGAACTCCTTGGCTTAAATGGAGGACACACGGAGGCTCCTCTGATCTTCTGAACTCATTTCCCTCTCTCTCTCATGTGCTGATAATTGTGCTCTGTGGAATCAAAGTTAAATGACCCAGTACTTTAATTGTCAAGATTTGAAGTTCCAGCTAAACATGTGTTGTCTCTCCTCCTGATGCAACCCTATATATTTCTACTCTCTCCTCAGCTACCATAAGTAATGAGTAATGGTCCTTACAGTAGCCTTCACCTAGGACAAGCAGACTAAAATCGAGGCAGATCAATTAGATTCTTCTCTATTTCAATCAAGATTTTACATCGCTAATCAGTTTCACAGTACAGGCTCGAAGAGTCAATGGTGAATTGCCCCAGAGGCATGGTTTTTTATGTATCTAGATGTAAATATGGAATTGTGTTTTAGGGTCAATAAGTTCCACTCTTCCTGGGCAGGTATCCTTTTTCTTCTATTTTAATGAGACTATCTCTATGATAGTTTTTGTCAATTTGACATCAATTAGAGTCACCAAGGAAGGGAATACCACAACTAAGGAATTGCTTCCATCAGACTGAAATGTGGGCTTGACTGAGTGACATTTATTGATTGCTTTGATAGAGACTGAACCACTGTGGGAGGTGCCACTCCTAGGCCCCTGGTCCTGGGTTGCATAAGAAAGTAAGCAGAGTAGATGATGGAGTGCAAACCAGTAAGTGGTGCCTCTCTGTGGTTTCTGCTTCAATCCTTGAGTTCCTGCACTAGTGTCCTATGATGATGGACTGTAACTTGCAAGTGACATAAATTCATAAATTCTCCTCTGAGTCCCTTTTGGTCAGTATTTCTTGAAACAACACAAAGGCAAATTAGAGGAACATCTTTTTTCAGAGCTCTGACAATAGACAAACTCTGTTGAACTTTTCCGTGTGGAGAACTGTCTGTTCTCAGCCACAAATAAATGATTAAAATAAAAAAATAAAAAATTATCTTATTTACTTCCTGTGGTTGAAGGTAGAAAGAATCTGAGGCAAATGTTTAGAACCTAGGTCTTCTATATCCCCAGATACTTAAAGGGAATGATTATGTAATTATATTTTAAAAACTATAAGCTTTATAAAGTTAGAAATTTTGATTTTGTACAAGAAAAAAATCATTACTCACAGGTTGTAACTCATGTGTCCCTCCTTGTTAAAAACTTCACAAAATTATTTGTGTGTGTGTGTGTGTGTGTTTCTTGATGAGTATGAGTCTTTTTCCAGAATACTATTCTAAGATGTCACTTACAAGAAACAGCAGAGAATACACAGTTGCTTTCCACTCTTGGATTGCATGGCCTCTAAATTATAATTTCAACATGGTGCTTTTGTGTTATAAACATTGTTTGATGATTCTTATTTTAATCATGTGTAGATATTTCAATTATCAATGCTAATATTAGCATTAGGATGTTTATATGACACAGTAACCGTAAAATAATCTATAAATCACCTATATATTTTTACATAGGAAGACAATAAAATAATAATAAAATGGGGACCAAGTGTAGCAGCATGAAGATATAATGTCATCACTTGGGAGATAGAAGCAAGAAGATTAGAAGTTCAATGTCTTCTGCTATATAGCAAGTTCAAAACCAAACTCAGTTACATACAGACTATTTAAAAAGATGTGTACTAGTGATTAAGTCTTGTTTACCTGTAATGCCCCAGTGTCACATGAATGCGTTGGTGGCACACGCCTTTAATCCCAGCACTCGGGAGGCAGAGGCAGGTGGATCTCTGTGAGTTCGAGACCAGCCTGGACTACCAAGCGAGTTCCAGGACAGCCTCCAAAGCCACAGAGAAACCCTGTCTCGAAAAAAACAAAAAAAAATTTCTCTTTGATTTGAACTCTCTATTTCCTGTCACCCATGTTTTTTGTCTCTGTCATATGAGACTAAACCTTTTGCCTGCTTAAGTGCTATCTTGTGAATCTTTTTGCCTCTGTACTTGTGTATGCCTATTTTGAGGTGTGTCTATCTGTTGTATGAGCTGTATGTGTCTAGTTCTGTAGTTGCTGTATGTTTCTGTGTGCTTTTATCATGTCTGTCTGTCTGAGTGGTATGAGAGTCTGTGTTTCTCTAACAAATTACTTCACTCTGTATTTACTGAACAGCACAAAAAACATCACAGGAATGGGATACCTTACAGAAATCTTTAATAGAGTTGTATAAGGGGTCATCTCTGACTCCACCTGATACCAAATGACCCAGATACTACACATTGTTTATCAAATAATATCCATAAATGCTTGCTTTTCCAAATTAAAAAGTGTCTTTTGCCTACAGAACATACATTTTCTGGGTCAGGGACATGGGAAGAGTACATAACAAGATTGTAGCTGTGCATCTTGCTTGTGTTCTAAAAGTTTATTACATGGGAAATTCAGGCCAGTAAATTTGATTATCACATTGTTCTCTTAAAGACAGTCTAACAAAGAGTTTAAGTACATGGTAGGCTAGCTGAATTAAGTCATAAGTGATTCAGTTCAACAATAGATGTTTTCAGAATATGGCGTCACCACAGAGAGCAAAGCAAAGCAAACAATAAATATAAAGGATGACATAATAATATACAGGCCAATGAAAAATAGACTCCATTTTTCATCTTACTGTGGGTTTTGCTTCATTATTTTGATTTCAATTTTTGTTTTGTTTTGTTTTCTGGGAGAGAGAAAACGTAAAGTTGGTATGTGATAAGGTGAAGAAGATCTAGGAGGATTTGGGGGAGGGGAAAGGACATGATTGAAATATAAGGAAGAAATTACATAAAAAGACAGATTAAAAAAAAGAAGCAAGCAGGCTTAGGAAGCCATGTGGAGGGAGCCATTTGGCAGTGTACCTAGATGACTTCTGCTTCAATTCCTGGCTCCAGTTTTCCTGCCTTGAGTTCCTGCCTGACTTCCCTCATTACTAGACTGTGATGTAGATGCATAAGATGAAATAAATCCCTTATCCTAGCAAGACAGGCAGTAACAAATTTTGCAGCTGTGCATATGAACATGTAACTTTGCAAATTTATGTTTCTAAATGCTAAAACAGACAGTTTTCTTATAGTTCATACATGAAAAACATAATAGTTGGACACTTGAACTGATTATAATACTTTGAGTCTTGCTGTATGTATATTGGAGTACCCTTTTGCTATCTGAGTCAAGTGCTTATATAAAAATTTTAAGTATCACTTTCTCTTAAGGAAAAGGACAAAACCATTTCATTTTTCTAGTTTATTTAAAGAGGAAATATTATAAGGTTTGCGGGCACATGATGGCCAAAATTTCTCCTTCCAACTCTGTCTGTTATATCACTCACCACTTTTTACACTATCAATTCTAAAAATGTGTATTATATATTAGGCAGTTACTCTTTTGAATCATGAAGTGATAATTTTCCAAGTTTAGCTCCCAGTGATTGAATATTGCCCATGAGAGACAAATGATAGACACTGGTTTAATTCTAATCCTCACAGTAATCCCTGGATTCATGCTATTTTGCCCTTTTTAAGATGGCCAAGTTGAACCAAGGAAAGCTTGCACAGCACCACAGAGCTGATGGAAGCAGAATCCTTGAACTGGTTTCTAGCAGCCCTTTGTAATTCAAGGATTCCTTTCGTATACCATGCATGTGAAACTGTACATTTAAATAACTGCAAACCATTCCTTTTCAGAGAGGAGAAATCACACAAGCTCCACTGACCTTGGCATCACTGTGCTCTCTTGCAGCCTGTGAACTCATGAACCAAGGCATCTTGGCTCTGGTCAGCTCCATTGGTTGCACATCAGCTGGGTCCCTCCAGTCTTTGGCAGATGCCATGCATATCCCACACCTCTTCATTCAGCGCTCAACAGCTGGCACCCCAAGAAGTGGCTGTGGTCTCACGCGCAGCAACAGGAATGATGACTACACTCTTTCAGTACGTCCACCTGTCTACTTGAATGAAGTCATCTTAAGAGTAGTCACCGAGTATGCATGGCAGAAATTCATCATCTTCTATGACAGTGAATATGGTAAGTGCCGATTATTTCAAGAGTTTCAGCAGGTGATGTTTGCATGAAAGGAGACCTCAATAAATCCTAAATGTTTTTAAAGAACTTACTAATCATTTGCAGTTTTCTTTTTTCTAATACAACTCACAGCAATAAACAAACAGAACTATTTTAAATGTGGTTGTGCTCACTCTTTGTATTAAATACCTCGAAATAAAATGTAAATATAAATACCAATTGGAGTATACAACACACACCAGTTATCAGGCTGAGAGAAAGGATGGCAAGGTCAAGGCTAGCTTGGACTAGCTAGCAAGACCTTGTTTCAAAAATAGATAGAAGATAGATAGATAGATGGATGGATCTACACCTTTCACTCAATAAGTAGTCTGACCACAATATATATTGAAGTTTCAAAAAATAGGAAGTTTAAAGACAGTGCTATCCTTAAAGACATATAATTTTGTGATAATGATAGCAATGACGGTGATGAGACCATGGGCAGACCTTAGAGCACTGATAAAATGATAACCTCTTTTTATCTATTGGCTAAAACGTGACAAATTTGTTGAGACAATTGATGAAAATAGAAAATATTCTCTGCATGCTTTATTCAATATGAAGTTTTACAACAACAAAAACTAGTTTTAATCAATATTTCCATCTTCCATTGTAGCACACAGTTTCCTGCACTGCATTGTAATGTGAGGAAGAAACAACTTGTCTGAGAATCTGTTCTTGTGATACATAAACACATTAAGAGAAAATAATATTTTTGTTTAAATAATTTTCTGAAGCCCTTCCTTCTCTGAAATGAAAGCTCTTTGAATATAGTTCTCCCTTTATTTTTGTAAGTAAGGAGAGAAGTGAATGGAGTTGGAGATGATCTTCTGAGAATAAATAAACCCCTTAATGAAGAATTCATTTAGAAATGTGTTCCCTTTGAAGATTCCAAAATGTTTCTCTTCTGTGTCTTGTTTTTCCATTTTTATCAAAAGCATGTTTTTCTTGGCAAATAAGTAAATAAGCATGGAAAACACACAAACATTTAGAGCAATCCTTTCTTCTCATAATCTGGCTGCTCTGAAAGAGACAGAGTGGTGACAGACAAGTGGGATGGGGAGCAAAAGCAACATTGCTGAGAACCAGCAGATTGGCAAAAACCTGGCAAGCATTAAAGGACAGCCCCCTGGGGCCAGCCAGGAAGGGGAACAGGAGCAGTTACATTTGGCCCAACATAATCAAAGTAGCCTGGCCTTTTGGTTGCCAGAATAATCCCATTGAACACAATGGACAAACTGCAGGCAAAGTCTGTGTCCTCTCCAGAAAGACTCCTTTTGTCTCCAAGACGGAAACCAGTATTTCTGTCACTTAAATCGCATTACCTAAGGGTCACAGAGTAAGAACTAAGAGGCTGACATGAATAAAAGACACAGCAGTAATATTGAAAACAATTGGCTCATCAGCAGAAGGAAAGACAGGCCATGCAAGCCTGAAAGGCGGGTGGGATGGTATTTAAGCCCGATGATTGTGACTGTCTCTAGTGCTCACTGCCTTCATTTGCTTTTGCCCCTTAGACTGTGCTCCTTTTCAACTTTAAGTGGTATTCACAGCCTCTGGTCAAGTGTAAGCTGAAATAATAAATGTTTAAAATCTAGACCTTTAGTAGGAGAAAACAGTCAATCCAATAAAATAACAAGCACAAGAGTGAATTTTGATTAAGACACATTCTCAACATTAAAATGGGAAATTTACCCTTTGATTGTAGAAGTCTGTAGGATAGGAAACCACTTATTATCATTTATTTCCATGTCCTCTGAGAATTAGATGGAGTTCTTACAAGTGAAGACACTTTCATTATTGATGAGCTGAATGCAGTCTTGAAAGTGTCCACTTCACACTCAGACACAGTCTTCTTCTCATGCTTGAGTTCCTTCAGTTTCTGTAAATGGCTTGGCGTGGATAAAGACCTGTAACTGCACAAGGGATGGTTGTGTTCCTATTTAAACACAGAGTTTGTTTTAGGAACACAACAATTTCCATCTATTCTGTAGATAAAATTCCCAGCTTCTGTCATCAAGATTATATCTAACAATACTATTATTAAATTTAAGAAAATTGTCTTTCGACGCTTACAATAAATCCTGTTAGTAAAATATAGGCTGGGGTCCAAGACAAACCTCAGGTTCCCAGAGATCGCAGATCTGGAAGAGGGCTAATAATGCTCACACGCACTCCTCAGGGACAATATCTAAGTGGATTAAATTTGACTTTTATCCTGATTATCAGGAATTGCTTTCATTAATGAATAAATTAAGTACCATTAGTGGATGGAATCAGGCAGCATGCTGGGGCACAAGGTTATTGGAGATGTAGTTTGCTTAGAATTGTATATATGTGTGTGCATATATGTATGTATATATATTGTGCTGCATATGTGCATTTATATAGAATATATATATGCATATATATATATACACACACATTTTGAGAGAGAAGAAGAAGAAGAAGAAGAAGAAGAAGAAGAAGAAGAAGAAGAAGAGAGAGAGAGAGTTTTTCTAGGCTTCTATATCTGAGTAATTAGTGAAGTCCCTTTCTTCAGAAGTATTTAATCATGATAAAAGGTAATTTAACAAAGAAAATTTTCATCATTGATTCTAAGTAAATGGATGAAAAAATATGTAACAAGTACAGAAACTTAGAATGGATTAGTTAAATACCATTTTTCTCCAGAAGGCTTGAAAGGAAATCTTCAGTAATGTGCCATGTGTGAAATATCCAACTCTTCTTAACGCATTACAAAGTATAATTTTTGCAAAATGCATATTTACATTTATAGATTAAAAACCTTACAATCAATAAAAGAAGTAAATTTCTTATATATCTCTCAGAAGTGGAAACAGTGAGGTACATTATCAGTGGGTGAATGCTGGTGTTGTATCTCTAATGAAGACTTTAATTTTGGTAGCAATGGTTAACCAGTCTTCTTGGGTAGACTTTTATCTTAGTTACTAAGGTTAAGGAAGCATTTGGGCAGCAGCATCTGTGGGAAACAACCACTTCCATAAAGGAAAAAAATTGTGATCAAGTCTTAGAGCAGCTGAATATGAGAAATAGTTAATTTTTACTTTCCAGGAACTAGAATAAGTATTTTATATTGCATCATTTAGTGTTCTTGGCAGCCAAGAATGAAACAACAAAGGCTGATATATGTAGCCATTTTGCTAAATTCTTCAAAAGTATGCATTATCTAATAGACATAGCTGTTAATATTACTAGTATTTTTACCAAAGAGAAAACATGAAGTAAGCAATGTCAAAGAACTTCAAAATGAGATAAGGAGCCCAGATGGAGTCATCAGTGCTCTCAACATTATTCCAACCCTGGGCCACTAGTGTCTTTGACACTATAGAAAATAATAAGACAAAAAAATAAGAAACATTTAAGAAAACATAGAATAAGATTAACTTCTAACAAATTTCAAGAAAACTAAGTTCATTGACTATACAGAATTATCTTCATTAAAGAGACACAGTGACTGTAAGCCTGCAGAATTCATAGGTATTATAATAATGTAAAGGAAAACTGTACTACATTTTAATTAGGAAAATTTGATGATTATCAGAAGCAGAGAAAACAGAATTGGGCTAAAAATAACCTAGTAGCTCATTACCAATACTATCTGTCTATGCACAATAAGCATTATCACAGACCAGAGAGAATCCTAACTCTCAAGCAAGAGCAGGCAGCATGAATCTTGTGTTAATGTAATGACATAACTCCACCAAGGTCTGTGAACCAAAGTAGTCAATAGGTATGCTGTGGGCTTCCATACACTAAGGAAAATTTTTTCCTCCTACCTACTGAGCAATTCTATCTTCAAAGTGTGTAGTGCCACAAAAGCTTCTTAGGGAATGGCTGTCACTACATCTCTGTTTTAACACCTTTGGCCACTAGCAATTTTACCATAGACTTGAAATTCCTCTAATTAATCTGAATGATAGAGGCATTTGTGAAAGTGCTCAACATCCCAAGCCATCAGGGAAATGCAAATCAAAACAACTCTGAGATACCATCTCACTCCTGTCAGAATGGCTAGAATCAAACAACAACAACAACAACAACAACAACAACAAAGAAAAAAAAAACAACAACTAAAAAAACAATGACAGTTATGCTGGAGAGGTTGTGGAGAAAGGGGAACACTCCTCCACTGTGGGAACAACAGACCTTGGCCAGGGGCCCACTTCCCCATCAGCCTGGGAGCAGGCAGCTGTTAGACAATGTTTACTAAAAACAATAGAGTGCCCGGAGCAATAAGTTCCTGATAAGGGCCCACAGGAAAACCCTGAACTTAACCTTTTCCAATGACTAACCACCTCATCCTGACCCACCCACCACTGTATCTGGTGTGAGGGCATATAATAACCAGCCAGGGTAAGAATAACATGAAGCCTTCTTGAAGTTTTCTTTGCCTCACTGACTTTTCTCTGTGTCATCAATCCTGACACCCTCTGCACATTCTCAGACACAGGCTGTGCAGCAGGCGCAACACTCCACTGCTGGTGGGAGTGCCAACTCATACAGCCACTTTGGAAATCAGTATGGAGATTCCTCAGGAAAATGGGAATCAGCCTACCACAAGACCTAGCAATTCCACTCTTAGGCATATACCCAAAAGATGCCCATTCATACAACAAAGATGTCTGTTCCACTATGTTCATAGCAGCATTATTTGTAATAGCCAGAACTTGGAAGCAACCTAGATACCCCTCAGCTGAAAAGTGGATAGAGAAAACGTGAGACATTTACACAATGTAGTGCTATTCAGCAGAAAAGAAGCAATGGAATCCTGAAATTTGCAGCAAATGGATGGCAATTAAAGAAAACATACTGAGTGAGGTAACCCAGTCACAAAAAGAGAAACATGACATGTACTCTCTCATTTATGGATTTTAGACATAGATCTGGGGAGTGCAGCCTAAAATCCCATGACCAGAGAGTCTCGGGGACAAAGCATT